AAATTGGGGTGCCCATGCTCGTTGGTGAGCTAGAGCCATTTTTCAACTGACAGAGCTCAATATCAAGGCAAATCCGTCATGTTTTCAATATGCGCGTGCCCAAGCGCGCGCTAATGACGCCATAAATTATGCGCAGTGATGCGCAACGCAAATGTGAGGAATGACCTTAAGACTTGCATTACAGAAAGGAATTGCACCAAGAGCAAAACGTTTGCTAATAGAACATATTACACAGCGAGTCAATTAACAAACGCAAACTGCTCGATACTGAAGCAAAAACAAATGTTATTGCTGTTTCAGTGGTGTATTTTCGACGATGAATAACAAATGGTAGGTAGCAAATCCACGCCATAAATTTACCCCTTACCGAAGTAGATTTGACCCGAAAATTGATCTTCCAGCAATAATATCAAAGCTTGTGTTTATTTGATTTGAAAAAAGGAAAGATTTTTAATGCTAACATAACTTTCATCCACAAATGCCTACGTGATTTACAGGTCTCTTGAGCTCAACAGCGGGACTAATACTAATTTTAAGGTTGCTGTAGACCTTCAGGGGTGCCTGCCGGAAAATGCTTTCTTTACACACTGCTTTAAAGAAAACCGCGGTAAACTATATATCATTGTTAAGCTAATAAACTGTAGATTCCGAAAACAATATATTTTGCTACTTTTGTTTTGATAGGCACACACAAGCCTGTAGAAGCAAAAATGACCGTACTGGCTAAACTGAATTGCCAGCCTTTGTGTTACCGCGGACAAACTGACTGGACATTATCAATCAGGAGTTGATGGGCTAACAAAATGTGTGACGCTTTTTCGATATTTCTATTGGTTGCTTAGGAAATCCCTTTTAACGTTGGACAATAGGAAATTTTCTGACTGCTGTTACTCAATGGAACGTCACAGGAAAACTATTTCAATTTTCACAAAAGCCTCACATACTTTGGTGCGCTAATATCTGACGAAGATTTTGGCCAAGTTTCGTTAAAATCCGATAAATGTACATACCCTATTATTTCATTTAAATAGAGGTCATTCACGCAAAAATAAACCCTATGTTTTCGGCCTAAAGAGTTCACAGTTTTCACAGTTTTCGCACCTCACTGAAGCGGTTGTCAATGTGGCCATGCCACCAACCAATGAAAAGTAGCTTTGAACTCCCCGGCGGGATACAGTAATGCTTCCCAGGAATAAACGTGCAATGTTTACATCTACAGTATATCTTTATATCTTACATCGGAAGTCTGCTGTGAAACATTCAGCAGCTTATAAACCGAATCAGCAGATAAATGGCAAAGAAGGAAAAGGGAAAAAAGAGGAATAGGCCTAGCGGAATGACCTTGAACAGGCCTACCGAGTCGAGTGAGGATATTTTCACATTTTTTAAAAATTCTAAATGCGTATTTCATCGGCCTGTTTGTTTTACTAGAATATGGAAAAACACTCTTTGAAGCAGAGGAAAGGAGCGTTTGGAGAAGCTGCTTTGTCAGATATCAGTGATAAAATTCGTCGGTAAGTCCGTGGCAATCAACGTCTGTGCCAGAAGAAGCTAGAGCAGGGCATTGACGAAACATTCGCTTGAAGATCAGTGCAATTTGCACTTCAAATGTAGGAACACGAAGACCGTGCAAAATTGCCTTGTCTATCACTTAAGAGACAAAAACAATCAACAAAAGCAAAGATTTCTGTGCGAGAAATTGCAAGACGTACGGGATAAAAAGACCAAAAGAAGCGAAATACTACTCTGTGGATGAAATCAGTTGCCGCAAAAATTGTTCCTGCTCAACTCAAAGGTTGACACATTTTAATTGGCTTATAACAGTTTGCGGTTCATTGACTCGTTTTAAAAATTTACGTTATTGTAGATAACTCGTTCGCATTTTAAGTTTTTAAAATAATTTTTTTGGCAAAATTCAGATAAAGTAGAAGTCTTGAAATTTGGTGCAAATAATTATTTTGAACAATATAGGCCCTTGAAGGTCTACAGTAACCTTAACTTCCAATCACTGGTCGGTGCAATTCCTGTATTTAGCTGCAAGTACCGTGATAAGGTCTATTTCAAACCCGTTCATGTTTTTAACGTTTGAGAATCAGTTTAGGGGGTTCGACACCACTCAATCCGCCAAAGGCCATTTAAAAACACATATAGTAATACTATACACGTTTGTGCAACACATTTAACTATGGCTACGAAGAATATCGCTAGCTAATAAAGCGGAGAACACAAGAATTTGTCCCGAATTTGCTTACAAGAGAGACGACAGTGAGGAAAACATACGCTCGAAGCACAAAACAGACTGGACAAAGTTCCATACATACTTAAAACAAGTAAACTTCACAGCGTTTTACATGCAACTTGAGGTCCGGGAATGCTTTTTATCGTAAGACAACTGATGAACACATCTCAGGCTTGCAATTAAAAGTACCGCGAGCGAAGAAAACTCGTCGTTTATCCTACCTGCTGTAAGTTATCAAGCATTTGAGCTAATGCAAAGCTTAGACATAAAATTCAACTACTCACAAGGTTCCTTTCATCTCCAGCTGTTCTTTCACTCCAAAGTGCGAACACAGCTGAGGGGAAAATAACAACATTGCGAGGCCTCGCCACATGCACAAGCTATCACGTGACACGTACCTCTCACCACAGGCAGCCCAAGCTCTCTCTATGAACCACACAAGCCATACAAGACGGCATCGAATTATAAGGGTTTATATGGGATTTTCTACAAGATATCCATGGAGGTTGTTAAAAGTGAAAATTATCAATAAAAATGGCTTACCTTATTCCGTACGTATGTTGTTTGCTCTTGGTGTGGTTATTTTATCGATTTAACTTGATTTAAGCGACTTTTTTGAATTCCGGTTTTCCCTTCATAAAGAGAGGACTTGTCCTCTACATGTCTGCATCGTGTCTTCTGTTGCAGGCACAAGTTGTGCAAGTTTCTCCCAGAGTTCTTTTCTGAGCCCTTTAATCACCTTCCTTTTTTCACGGAAACAAGGAATCTCTATTCCTCCTCCTTAAGCTCCTTGCACTCACACACTCTCGGGCGCACTCCTGCTTTGACCGGACTACCGCATAAGAGAATCAGCCGATTTTTCAATATTTTTTAAGCTGAAACGTTTCCGTTATTACCGACGTTCCTGTTGAAAATGACATAAAGAATTTTGAATTTTAATGCAAAGAAAACTTCATTTTCCTGTTCACTTGACTATTGATTGGAGAAATTAAAATAACGTTGTGTTAAACCTTGGTCTCGTTATTTTTGGCGGGAAGGTGGAGTTGGCGTGGGGCTAGGCTCGCTACTTTAGGGATTTACTAGAGGTAACGACTTTTTTACGTTGCTTTCGGGGGGTCGTTACTATTGGACGTTTACGGTAATACCACTAGGACAGCACCGCGTCTCGTCCGCTCAACAAAGTTAA